CACCATCAGCTATCGGGATCGCTCAGGAGAAGCAGCACCCATTGGTATAAGCAGCAGAGAAGTTTCCAGAGGTCTGTCCTGGGCAGCCTCATGGTGGTGCCCTAGTGATATGAACTGTTTCTCACGAGTTTCTTGGTGGGGAGAGTGGCCGAGAAGATTCCACATGGGACAAAGGCTAGAGAGATGCCTTCCTCAGGGGACCTTGGGAGATTCCACTGAGGGGCCAGCTAGGACATTTCCCTGCTAGGTCCCTGGGAGCAAAGACGGGGCATTCAAGGAAAAGGGAGTCTGGCTAGCTACAGGGATGGAGTTAGTGTCTCTGCACACAGCGGGAACTTTGACACCGGTGGTGTGAAGACAAATTCTACCCACATGGCTAGCTCTGTGGATTCTGAGCCGAGGGTCATGGAAGTCTCAGGCTGTGGCTCCCGGGGTTTGGGAAATGAGAGTGTGAGCGGAGGGCCAAACCTCCAGTGCCCTGCAGGTGAGGCCTCTTTATGCATGGGGACACTGAAGGCCTAGAGCCTCCCCCTGGCTCTGTCTGCGGGCAGCTTGCTAAGAGCTTCAGTAAGTGATGCTCTCTCTCCAAGACCCGTTTCCTCATCCGAGAGCAACAGTGGGTTGGCCAGCTTGGCCCTGCAGCATGCACGGCTCAAAAGTCTTGTGAACCGGAGCTCACCCGAACACTCAGGAGCCACCGAGGGGGGCCAGCCCTGAGTTTGGAGGATGCAGATCACGGTGGTTCATTGTTTCGACGCCTCCCCCCCCCCCCGCCACACACGCTGTGTCCAGCTCTGTGGGTCTCCTGTCTCTCCACACAGTTCAGGGAGGACCCTCATGGGCTGTGATGCATGGCTGCATTTGCTGGGGTGCCCAGGCTCCTCCTACCCCTACATTAGATACCCCAACACCAGATTCTCCACTGCCTGGGAGAGGGGGTATGTATGGAGGTTGATACAAATTCTGTTTCCCTCTCCTGCTTCTTCCTGGGGGACAGGGAGGGGGAGGACACAGAACCCTTTGAAATGCCTCTTGCTCCTCCCTGCTCCCTGCTCCTCACTTCATTCACCTTGCCGGAGCCCAGAAACACTCCCGTGGCGCACCTCTTAGCCACTTGGCAACTTTTTTTTCTTTTATGATATTTTGGGCTTCTGTTGCCCGCCAAGTCAAAACCAAGGGGAAAAAAGAAAAAAGAAACCCACCCTCCAAGTCAGCCCTGATCTAAACATTCCCCGTTCCCGTCTCCCTCTCAAGGGCGGGTCCTGGGTGCAGAAACAGTGGCCATGGGACCCACCTACCCACCTGCAGGCAGAGAGGATGCCTACGGGCTCTCTCACGGGTCTTTGCCAATGGAGTTACAGAAACTGCGAGGAAGAAGGACACCCGAATGTTGCATCTCGAATGTTCTTTGCCAGGCAACTCCTGGGGAATGGGTTCTTGATATCGGGTGCACTGGCAAGGGCGGCAAGGGCAGAGAGGCCTCTGCATGGCAGCTGGGGACCCTGAGGATGACGTATCTGAGGTCAGAAGGCAAACGGGGATGCCGGGCTTTGCTGGGATGCAGGCCTTTCAGACCTCAGCCTGGCACATCAAGGTTCCCTGACATCTCCCTTCCAGTGTGTGTGTCTTTGGGCCCTGGCACACAGTAGGTGCTTTGGTAATACTCACAGGCCAGATGAATAAACCTGGTGACACTTCTCTTTTGAATGGGGAGAAGCTGGGTTATCTAGTCTTGTGGGGGGGCAATAATGAGCTCCATGGGAACCACCTTCTCCCCACTCCAATGCCTCCCTTTCTTCAGAGGTGCTGCCTCAGGAGGGTGGGCGTGGTCAGTGACAAGACATGTAAATAGAGCATGGCTGGGTCTCCCTGGGACAAGGTTCCTGGCCGGCTTGGGGATCCACTTGGGGAATAAGTCATCCATTTGAGACCCTTCTCCATATGCCAAGTGAACAGTACAGAGGCCTGGGTCTTCTCGGTCCCCGAGCTGGGATGAGACACTGCTGATTCAGGAGGGAAACAATGCCGGACCTCAGGGCCATGGTCCTAACTCCTGGGTTCCCCTTACACCTTTCCTCGTAAGGAACCCGCCAGAGGAGCCCCCCTACCCCCATTCTTCCTTGTCTGCCTGACAACCTGGCCAAGGGTGCAGGTTTGTTTGGGCCTCTAGGGCAAGACAGGGCCTGTGACTCTACCACCCTGGGGGACCAAGACAGGGGAGGCTGCAGGGTGTCCCCTTACATACCTCACCCTATGAACCCCCAGGGGAGGGGTGGACATGGCCACCAGACAGAGACTGGTGCAGTGGCGTCGCCTAGGGAGGCGGAACCCGCATTTCCCCAGCATCCTAAGGTAGAAGTCAGAGTACAGAGGAAGTTCAGTGCTCCGTACAATCGCCTAGCCAACCGCACAGTGTGTGTCCCTCCAGGGGCCAGGGTCCTGGGACTTTCTGTATGGAGGAGAGATATAACCGGGACACCGGAAGGCAGAGAGAATCACCGGGGAGACTCAGTAAGGCTCGCCCGGTGCTTAGCCCAATGCAGAGCCTTCTTCAGTCGGCGGAGGACACCTATGTGGGCTTGGGCCCTGGGCAGAACCATGTGGAGAGAAGAGAAGCCTGGGGACGTGTTCGTTTTCAACTCCACGGGGGTTCACCATTTAAAAAAATCTGTTTCTCTCTAACGAGGGCACTTTGTGGCAAAATAAGTTGGAAACAAAAACTTTGGGGCATCCACGCTGCGCTGAGCTGTGGAGAAGCGCCTGGGCTCCCTGGGTCCCACCTTCCCGGCACTGCCTGCTCTGAACACACCTGGGGAGGCTCCGGGAGACGTGGGTGGCGGGGCATGAGGCTTTAGAGCAGCCAGAGGCTCCGGGAGACTTGGGGGGGGGGAGGCAGGGCGTGAGGCTGCAGAGCAGCCAGCCCCGCTGTGGTCCTGCCTGCAGGAAAAGCCCAGGCAGCCCTTGGCTGATGCGCAGGCAGGCTGCAGATCAATACTGGTGGAGAGGCAGCTTCGCTCCTTCCCCGGCCTCCCCAGCTATTATTCATGCCGAAGGGCCTTGTTTGGATGAAGGAAAGGAGGGTGGGAGTTTGCAGAATCACGGGCCTGAGCTCTGCGTGTAGCCTGGTCCCCCCTTACCTGGGCGCCCCCCCTGCCCGCCCTGTTTATGGAGCTAGGGAGGTGATTCAGAAGATGGAATGGGGGACTTGGGCAGGGGTCCCTGCTATCCCTTCTCTGGTTCTTCTCGAAGAAGGGCACGGTGGGCTCAGGATGTTACTTGCCGGGACCTCTCTTGCTCCTATCTGGGATGAGCCCACTACCCCAGCTCCTGGTGGACCTCCCAGTTCACAATCTGGTCCTTTGCTCCCCCCCCCCCCCATCCTGCTGTTGCCATTTGCCTCTGGTGAGCAGGCCCTGAAGGGAAGGGTGTCCCTGGCTGCCTCAGCGCCAGTCACACGTTTCATTTTCTGTCTGGCCTGGGTGCTCCTTGGCCACCTTGGAACATCACCCATCATGGTGTGGGGCCTATTGGCTCTAAGACAGTTATGGAGATGTCACCTTGGCAGATGCTACTAGGCCAGGCCGGATGCATGACAGGTGAAGGACAGAAATGAGTATTTATTTAAGCTTTGGGTCCCGTTGAAAGCCAGCAATGAGGGAGCACAAGATAGAGGGGTCTCTTGTCTCAGTGGGGCTGGCTTAACACACAGTCTTCCTCCCCACTGGAAAACCAGCTCTAGCTGGTCTTCTGCTGGGGTGTGGAGGTCACTCTAGGGGAGTGAGTTGTCCCTGACTAATATGGACTAGACTCCAGCCCAGACCCAGGTGTGAACCCTATTCTACATCGACAGTGATTAAGGGGACCTGAAGCCAGGTCCTATGCCTCTTGGCCGACTCATGACTTCTGCAGGACCGTCTGGGATCTGCCCCTTAGGACAGGATGGAGGTAGGGGACTAGGATCAGGATGGAGAAAAGGTACCCATCCCTCATCTTTACCAGAGCACCCAGCCCTGAGGCTGTGGTTTCCATAGTTATATAAACTAAACCAAGTGGTGATCACATACAACAAGGGGACATAGCGGGGGTGGGTAGGGGTGCAGACGACCATGATCGGGCTCTGTCTTCTCTGGCCATGGGAAAGTCCATCAATCCACCAATGGCAAGCCACAGAAGGGAAAAGGGAGGCGGGTGGAACCTTGCACGGGGCTGCTCCCGTCACCCATTAGGGAAGCAGGCCTTGTAATGAGCTCCAGTTGACTACGTGGGGGCCCAAGACGCCTCAGCCCACCTTCCCGCCAGCCTTTCAGCCTCACAGAGCTTTCCTTAAGCCTTTCTTGCTCGCCCTCACTGCAGAACACAGTCTCCCAACCACACCCTCGGTGAAGGGGAAGGCAAGTGTGGGCCTACAGTCCCTGGCTGTGGACTCCCCCAGACAAGTGTTGCCATTCCCACGCCTGGAGTGCCCAGAGACGCCAAGCGGTTCTCACCAAAGTGATGAGGAAGTCGGCACTCGTACTTAATTCTCAGCTACGTAGACAAACGACTATAAATATTTATGGTGGGAAATTTCATTATTTAAGAATTCCCCTCTAAATTTCCAGCGAGTCCACTGAAGAATGCCTGCTGGAGAGGCTGCAAATTAAGAACAATTATTTTTCTCTTCCGCATTTAAATATAACTTACAGCTGAAGTCATTTAAGGGGACTAACATCAACCTTAATTAAATATTAAAGTGTGCCTGTACCTGCTGCTATTGCTGCCCCTTCGAATAAGATATAACCTATTTTTGACAAGTTTTCATCTTTCTCTGCGGAAGACACTACATGAAACCAAATCAGCGGCAAAGAGGAGAGTAATGAATAATCTATTTCATATTCCAGCAGTACCCAGGGCTCGGAGTGGGAAAATATTCAGTCAGATGATGGCAAGAGGCTGCTGGGTACCACATGACACAGCTAATGTTTAAATAATAGTAATAGAAAAAAGCGATAAACAAATCATTAGCCCTTAACAGTTGTTTAATGCAATTTGTTAATGAACGTAATGGCGGGGACTGATAATGAAAGACAATAAATCCGTCTAAACAGGCGCCAAGTCGCTGGCCATGCGCAATTATTTCCTTGTCAAGTTTTTATGATTTAATGAGCCCCTCTGGGACTGACGGCTGTCAGTCAGTCGTGACTTTTTGACACCATTACAACTTCAAATACAGCAGCAGGCAGGCTGTTTTCCTCGGATTTGAAATACTGAAATGATCTGACAGTTTTAAAGAAAAGATGTGCAGGGGAAAAAAAAACCGAAAGAGGGAGAAAGGCTGTGCTCGCCTCTTCCTTTCCGTCCCTCCTCCCTCCTTCCATGGGTTGATAATCTCTGGATGCTGTTTGGTAAGGAAAACCCAATCACTGAGGTCATTATCTGATGAGGTTTTTGGAGCAGGCAGGCTTTTCCCCCCTCTTTATTTCTTTACTTAATGATAACCCTCAATGGGCCTGCCCCGCATGGGACGGCCAGAGCCGCACAATTTTGTTCACCATTAATTTCAGCCTTTGAAGCTCAGGGCTCAGAAGCAGGAGCAAAGCAAACCCCCCACCAAGCTGGTTCCAAAATAAGACAACGCAGCCTGCCTGAAACAGAATAGCAAATGGCCTCGCTCGAGGCCCAGGCCCGGCCGCTGACGTCAGGCCCACTGCATCTGCGGGCATCCGCCTTCAACGCAGGACATTTAAAACTCTTTACAACTTAAGAGACTTTAATTAGATTGCTTTTGATTCTGAAGTGGGGTTGCATCCGCTTTATTTATGCTGTTCCAGAAACTGTTTAGTCTGCATGAATTTTATATGGCGAGGGCTTCCTCCTCCTCCTCCTCATCCTCCTCCACGCTGTCATTTCATCTCCCCCTACCTCCCACACACTCTTAAACAAAGGCTCCCAAACTTCAGAAACAGTCAACAACTGAAGCCTACACAATATGAACCTAGAACTGTGAACACAGAGACACCTGCCTCGGGTTTGCGTACCCTCTTCCTTCCCTAGTTGGGCGGGGTGGGGGGGAGGGTGTTGCCCCAGCCCCAGACCTCTCTGTGTTCCTCCCATGGCACCAGAAGGACGGAAAGTGGTCAGGGGACTTTCTAGGTGGCCACTCTCTACAGGAGGGGATGGAGTTGCTGTGTCCAAGGGTTAGGCGTTCACAGATTTCCACTCCCCAAATCACTGGCCAAAAGAGCTCTGCAGGGAAAAGCCATTGAGGGCCGGCAGCAAAGGCCTCCTTCCTTCTCCTTCCTTCTCATTCATTTGCTCCTGGGTGAATGCAGGTTTCAGCGAGCTACTTAGGGGCCGCCAAGTGTCGGTGCTCAGCTCCACCCTGCTTGCCAGGTGGCCTTGGGCAGGAGTGGATGACGGACGCAAGGTGGGACAGTTTAGGACTTGGCATACCCTTAGCGGAGGACCCCCATCTCCAAGGAGGCCACCAGAGGTGTTGGCAGACGCTGGTGGTTGTCTCCTTGCGTTTGAATAGTTTCTTTCATACATTAGGATGCCCAGGACTCGGTTATCACAGTTAAAGGCTCTTGCTAAGCTGGTCAAAGACTCAGCGAGGTTTCCGGTCCCTCTCCTCTGCTGTCCCACTTTGGTCGGCCCAAATCCCGCCCTTCCGACACAGAGACTACACCTTTATTTGCACAATAATAAATGATTTATCTGAACACATACAGGCACTGGCCTGATTCCACGAGTACAATTTCTCTGGTGGATTTTGCATTTCCTGTCTACTCTATAGTGGTTCTCTTCGGAGTGTGTGTGCGTGCGTGTGTGTACTCGTGCACAAAAGTGTATGCATACATGTGTGGTGGGGGATCAAGTACAGCATGATCTTGCTCCATGAGCACAGGTGGTTAGCATTTTTTATGAGGAGAATAGGTTTGCTTTCAAGAATTCAAAGCTTCCAGTTATATTAAAAAAGATAGTACAGACTTGTAAAAAGTGCCTATGAGGTCTTAAGAAAAACACATTTCGCTTCATGACTAGAGGGGAAATGACCTCATCTTGGGCAACTTTTAAGCCTGATCACAAATGAATTCATTTTGAACACAATTCCTGGTTACTTCAGACAGAAAGAAAATCAGACAGAAAGAAAGGAAGAAAATCAAAACGGCGTGGTCGAGGTTTGGATGCACAGAGTGCCGAGGCAGGCTTTGCCACAGCTGTCAGGGGAGCCCAGGGAGCTGTTTTGTAGCACTTCTGCAACCCTTCATTCTTTGGAAGGAGGTCGGTGGACACTTCCCACCAAGGTTTTTTTTTTTCTGGTGGGCTGTCCCGTAGGACTGTCCCCTTCGAAAACTTCCCACCAGCACAGGAGTCCTGCTCATGCTGTCTGAAATACTCATGCTGGAAGGGGTGTGGAGACAACACTCTCAGACCTTAGGGCTTCTGCTGACTGAGCTCATATTGGAACCGGGAAGATACAGAAATGCTTACACGGGTCGGGGAGAATGAGGTCACAAATACTGTGCTGATTCTCACACTGCGGGCCAATTCTGGGGAGTATGGCATTTGGGGAAGGTGAGTAAATATTTCATACCAGGGAAAGTGCCAAGTCAATTTCCTGTACAAGTGACAGTGAATCCTCTCCTTTGCAAGAAAGTTGCCTGGGCAGCATGGCTGGATTCGAATGCTGGGAAGGGCGTGGCTGATCTCTGGAACTGCTCACTGGTGCTGGCCCCTGACTGTTCTGGCATTTTATCCTCGGACATCACAGGAAACCTTTCTGGTAAAGAAGGTACGTGACACACAGAAGTTTCTGGGACCGAGTCATCGTGTCCTCTCTCAAACCATGACCCCAGGCATGTCCACGAGGCAAGGAAGAATGTTAGCAAAGCTATTTTGGACAGCAGATGAAGTTACCTAAAGGCAAATAAGCATTCACCTTCACCTACAAAAACAACAAATCTGGGCAAAGACCAACCTCCAAAGGAAACCAACCCACATGCAGACAGGAACAGAGATATTTTTACACTCTCCACACCCCAGCTGAAGAGTGGTGAGGGAGAGACAGAGGGCCACCCGGGGCCTGTCAGCACATGAGAATGATTCATGTGACCATTTTGTCTTAATTACTCAGGACAAGACAAGATCACTGTTTATCAAGGGAGAGCAGATGCATCAGTGTCCTTTGACAAAAAAAGTGATGGCTGTCAGGATGGTGATGACCACGATGATCCCCAGGATGACGAGCAGGATGCGGTTCTGGATGATTCTGCGGGGGAAAGAAGAAAAGTGTACTCGGATAAATGAACAGCATTTTCACACACACTGCCCAAGGCAGGCTGGCTAAAGAAACTACAGTCTGGCAGGTAGAGTACGTGTGTGAGCACACACACACAGACACACACACAGACACAGACACACACACAGATGCACACACAGACACACACACAGACACAGACACACACACAGACGCACACACAGACACACACACAGACACACATACACACACAGAGACACACACAGATATACAGACACAGACAGACACACAGACACACACACACACACACACACACACACACACACACACACACGGAAAGAGCTTCCAGGTCTATGAACAGCTCTACAGTGCTTGCAATCATTGGATGCTTACCAAAAAGCTAAGGGGAATCAAGGGCTTTCCAGGATTTGGGTACCATGTAGCCTCTTTAAGTGATCAAGGGCCCCATGTGAGCATTTCTTTTTCATTTAGAATGTGAGACAGGCCTCTCCACCGTTATTTTTTTTCTCAGTGTTTCCCATGAAAGGAAAAGACTCCAAAGAAATATATGTCAGTGAGGTACTTACCTGGACAAAAATACCCCAGGAAAGGCGAGGGAGACTTAGCAAGGAGAGGAGAGGATTGAGAAGAGAGTGTCAAGCTTGCGGCTCAGGTTGTGGAGCTGCTGCCTGTCAGTGTGGCTCATGGCTTCATCAAGCCAGGAGGGAATGTTACGTAGGCTCCCCGGTGCAAAAGATGGAAACGAGAGTGAACAGAAAGCCCTCAAGGTGCCTGGCAAGCGGCTGTGGGTGGGCCCTCTAGGGGACGCTGGTCCCTCGGCCCAGCCCAGCCCAGCCCTGCAGAGCAGATGCTCACCTCAGAAAGACGAGCAGAGGAGACACGCACTGGACGCCTGCAGCGCGCTTCCACTGAAGTGATTTCATAATTTGTTACCTCATTCGGAGAAAAGAGGTCGCACACCACAATGCTTTGTTGAGCCTTTCAAAGGGAACCTGGGTCAAACGGCCTCGCCCACGCTAGCTGCTCTCACTGGGTGCATGGAAATAGAAGCCCAGAGGCAGAGGCTGGCCGTCTAGCTGGCTGCCCACCTGGCTTCAAGCCCGCAGCAAAAATCCCACCTCATCCCTCCTGCTCAGAAGCACACGCGGAGTCCCGTGACCTCCTATGCACACGGGACCCTGGACAGGGTCTTCCACAGGGAGGGGTGTGTGGGGACGAGGGACGGAGGACGTCATCAGGCCGAGGTTTTGGTGGCACACTCCTCGCCCACCCTTCCGTCTTCACAGATGGATGGATACCATCCCATTAGAGTGGTCCACTCCCCTGTGTCCCCTAACAGGACGGGCTCCCTCTCTCCCTGACAGGTTACAAAATGATCGCCATTTGCTGACACGTCTTCCGCAAAACTGCGTTAGTGCCCATGTCCACTTTTCTCGCAGGAGATGAATGGTGTGCTCTGTTCCTCATTTATCACATGAGGCTCGGGGAAGATCTGTCTTGTTTATTTCTTCTTGTCCCACTAGAAAGCCTGTGTCCGACATTAATTCTCCTGTGATGACAGCTAATTCAGACTTAACAGGCCATGTTTACCCAGGAGGCAGGAAGGGTTCTCTATCCCACCCCGTAAGTAAATAAGAACGGGACATCACAGTTTATTAAAGGGAGACTAATTAGGAACACTCAGTGGCACCGCTTAGGCTTCGCTTAAAACTCAAGTTGTTTTTATCCTCCTTTCCTCTGGAAGGCAGGCACGTCCTCGGGATGGTCCCCACGGTCTGTTTGCTCATATCTCTATCTGCCACTGCCACCCACGTCAGATTTACGGAGGAGGCCAGCAGTGAGGCAGACTCAAAGCACAAACACTTAACAGATTCTGCCGTAGGGTAACCTGTGGTAGAGTGTCTCTCATGCAGCGTGGATGACAGTTGTCTTTTCTGCGGGATGAGAGCCCCAAGCATCCAAGACGGGGGCTACTAGTTTAATCTGGAGCACAGTAATAAAGTCAGCACACGGGAGGCCCCAGGTCCTGGTTTTCCCCTTCTGCGTGCACTGTGCCCACTGGTGTCCCTGTCGCCAGCTGTCTGCCGCTCCGATCGTGTCTTCCTATAGAGAACGGGTAGAACTCTCCCCTAAAGCGTGGACACGGTGCTGTGGCCGGCACTTGGGAGCAGGATGGAGAACTTAATGACAGAGTGTGGCCCCTGGGGGGCTGTAGCCATCCCATCCTAAGGAGGGTTCAGGAGAAACCCGGGCAAATTTGACGGGCAGGAAGATGCCAGGGTGGGAAAGGATGCGGGTGAAAGCTGGAATGAGTCCTCAAGAGGGGGCACCCACCACAATGCCCCGGCAGGGCAGTCCTGGCTCCTGTCTCAGAAGCCAGAGGAAGGACTGGCCATCCAGGCTCCCGGGTGTGCACCACTGGGGGACGGTCGCTGACTTTGTAGAAAGCGCTCCCGGACATTGGAGATGAAGGGAGCAGAGGGCAGAAACGGCTGGGCCAGAGAGGGCTGAACCTAAGCCTGACTGGCCAGGCCACCAACCCGGCTTTGGGTTGCAAAGGACTTGGGCAAATATGTCTTTCTAGGGACAGAGAAGGACCCACCTGAGTGGATAGGGTTGAGCCGGCGGGGGGAGGAGGGGCAAAGGCTGTCAGTGGCAGACCCCAGCTATGAGGAAGCCTGGAGAATGGTCGCTGGCCATTGCTGCCGGGTAGTCCTTACTGCTCTGGGCAACAGGACAGAATGCAGAGTTGTAGAGCTGGGAGGAATGGGAAAAGCCAGCCGGGTCAAGGGGCTGCCAGCCAGCCAGGAAAGAAGTTTGGGGGCGGCCCCAGTGACTTGCTCTTAACTCCGGGTAAGGGGCCTAGATGTCCCCACCAGGCCAGCAGAAAGTAGTCTTAATCTCCCTTTTGAAAATGCAAAGAGTGTTTACCCAGTAAATAATTTAGGGAAGAGTATACACTTGAAAGAAGACATCCACGGAACCAGCCAGGCTGAATCGCCTCCAGGCAGAAAGCCGTGCGCCTACACGCTGCATTCTATCAGCGAACGCACTGTGGCTTTAAAAGAATGCAGAGACAAATTAAAAGGAATGTGGGCCTGAAACATCAAAAATTCTCCAAGTTTACATTATGAATCACGGTGCTGTTGATATAAGATGAATTAACCATTTACTTTGAGGTTAAACTCACACGGTATTATAGAAAATAGTGATCCCTGTGTGGAACCCGGGGAGCGGCTAATCTCCCATTGCCAGTCTCCTCCCCTTCTGGAAACAGCTCCTGCCTGTGGCCTGCAGAACCACAGAAGACCGGTTCAAGCCAAGGAGGAGAAGGCGGGCAGCCACCTGACCTCCTGCGTGAGGTGAGGGGCAGGGGGGCTGCATGGCAGCAGGCACTCTTGAAGGCACTTCTTGGGACGGCCAGGTTCTCCTCTGCAACAGCGCTCATGACCCTGACCTGGTCCTTGGTGTTGGGAGTCGGCACAGGATTTGCTCTGGCCACAGAAATTCAGGCAAGAAAAAAAAATAAAAAAAATAAAAGCAAGCGGCTGCCCCCATGAAGAAGTGGTCCATCCTCTGCTGGCACGGGCTCCCCGTCTCGCTGTTTCAGTGTACAGCCTGAATGTCCCAGAGAGGGCAGTGACAGGGCACAGGACCTGCCCCCAGGGCTACCAGCTGGGGGATCGCTACCCTTGGCTTCGCCTGGGTCCTCGGGGGACTTGCTCTAAGCTGATGAGGTCTGGGGGTGGCTTGCTACTTCAGCATAACCGCTGCCCCTTCTCAGTCAAGGGAAGGGCCTCCTAAGCACAGTGAGGTGTGGGGTGCACACATCCCGGATGTCGGGGTTTGACCGCAGCTCAGAATCCCTACCTTGAAGATTAATTTTGGTTTCTTTATCTCCAAAAGTCGTTTTTTGTTGAATACAATTTAAAGTCACATTTCTTTGTCTATTTATGTGTGTGCACACTAAGGTTGAGGTCAGAGGACAACTTGGGGAGTGGGCTCTTCGCCTCCACCACGTGCAGCCTGGGACAGAACTCACTCTAGCAGGTTTGGCAGCAAGTGCCTTCACCCGCTCGCTCGGTCGCTCGCTTGGTCGTCTTGCCAGCCCAAAGCTGGGTTCTTTCTGCCTCCAACTGGCTAGAGATCTCCTCACCAAAAACCAGGAGCCCCCTCAGCTGGGTCTGAGGCTGCTGTGTGCTCATGAGCAATGATGTCCATATGAGCTCTGGGCAAGCTGCCTGGGCCACTCTGCATCCCGAGAGTCACAGGTGAGGACCGGCAGCAACACCTCACGCCACCCCCTGGCTCCACAGGTAGAGCCGTGACCTAAGCAATGAAGGGTAGTGTACTCCACTTCCCTGCCACAGTGACTCCAGGGAGCCCAGCAGAGGGGGTCCCTGTCATCGCGAGGAAGTCAAGCTGGCCCATGGATGGGCAGACAGCCGGGACCCCGCCCTGAGGGCGTGATAGACTTCTGCAGCAAGCCACCCTTCCTTTGAACGTTGATTAATAGGAGGAAATAAATTAACTTCACTTTTCAAGACTGTTTGATTGGGGTCTTCTGTTATCTGCAACCAAAAGGCACTGTCGGGTGAGTCGCCGTGTCTCCACACCGAGGCCTTGATCTGTGGTGCCCTGTAATGAGGGCTTCCGGACCACGCTGGCCCGAGCTTGGATTTCCCCGCGCTTTGCTTCCCGCTACGCTGGCCACACAGGTATCTGCTTTTCTGTTTCTGTGAAGTTTTCTCTGGTAAAAAGTGGCCCTTCCACAGCCTGAATCTCTTTCATCTTTTGTATCCCTCTGACACAGAGCTTGGCAGAGAGATGTTAAAAAAAAAGAAGAAGAGTTTTGCAGGGTGTGGCAATACAGGCACCCAAAGTTCTAGCTACCGTGAAGCTGAGGCAGGGGGATCATGTGAGCCTAGGAGGCTGAGGTTTGAGGCCACCTGGGAGACGCACTATGACCCTGAAGGCCTTCTTGTACACAG